TATATATATATAGAATGCTGCAAGTAGAACTCTATATTCATGATGTCTGCCAATCTATGGTATAATCCATCCAACTATATAAATTTCTTGTACAATCAATTGGATAGAGCTGCAAATAAGCCCAGTCAAGCTGAGATTGTTTGGCCTTGACCTACATGAATTTATGATCAGGTTGAGTTATGCATGTATTCCTACAATCCTGAAAAATGTCAGATCAAGCTTAGACATTCCAAGCCCACATAATCGAGTAATAAGCTCTGTCCATTTCAAATTTCTGCTAATTACTGAGGTTCAGGCCATTTGGTCTAAAATTCATACAATAAGATCGATATTAATAAACAAACATGGAAGGTTGCTAAGAACACATGAAAAAAAATAATAATAAAATAAAATAAACTCAATACATTTCTTTTCAGGACTTTATGCAAGAATTAACCGGAATTTCATGAGATGGATGCTGGGTCTTTAAGAATATTGTACTCAATCACATAATGCCCAATTTTATTTATTTATTTAATTTAATTTTTTTTTTTTTTTTTACTTTCAGTCTTGCCTTTAGCGAGGCACCAGGTCCTTAACCACCCTTCAACTTCCTAGAAATATTCTCAACAAAAGACTTATAGTTGCCCCTTTTTCCAAATTCATAACAGCATATTTTGTTCAACCATCTCATCTAATACCTTCACCTATTAGAAAAGTGATAAACTGGTTTATTTATTCCCTTCTCTACATGCCCCTTCATGTGTAGGTCTGTTGATTTATGGTGAGTCGGAGACATAATACCATAAAGTAGTCAATCTCAACTGATGAAATCTCCATCAGTTATGTGAAATCAAAGGAGAGTCACGCGGATCAGATAACTAAGGCTCACCAGAATTGATTTTTTTCAGCACAAGAATGCATGTGCAAATTTTTCATAGATTAGAACAAGACTTAAACTCAAGAGACTTTGCTATTGTAATAATATGTTGAACTGCCTCATATGAAAGTTTAAATTGTTAGTGAGGGGGCATATTTGTTTACTTAAATTTTGTCTACACTTCATCTCAGAATTTTTCTTTGCTTTTGGAGGCTTCATGGAGGAGGGAGGGACGGACGGACTGCATGTAAAAGGTCTACTTGAATAAGTCAACTCTTTCATAAGGTTCGCCACCTCTTCTTAATTGGCATTTGTATATAAACGGCATTAGGACGAACTCCATGTATTGAAAATGCAACTCACTGTGTGTAAAATGTATTTAGCTAAAACATAGAAGCAGAACAAGTTTGTTCCTATTCAAGCTCGGATCTTCTGCGAAACAAGCCCCCAATAGTTTGTTCAAGAAGTTGATAAATGAACAAAAATAATTAAGCCCTGTACAAGCCAATCGCCTAGCCCTCCCTGAATGGCCTGCTTCATTGCATTCAGTTATATAGAAAGTAGTTATGCACATTTCCGTGCATGTGGGTGTATGTGGGAAATAAATAATTAAATAAATAATCACCAATCATTTATAACAAGTAAGACCACTATTACTCACAGTCCCTTCGAGCATTTTCAGTAGTGCCTGCTGAACGCCTTCACCAGAAACATCTCTGCTGATGTTTAAGCTCTCAGCCTTCAATATAACACAAACAATATAGAAAGGTGGATTCGAATCTAGAGCCACATTCATATAAAGAAGCTCTTGCAAGGAAAATGAGAAAGACAAGAACCTTCTTAATTATCTTATCAACTTCATCAATGTAAACCATCCCTTGTTGTGCAGCTTGTACATTAAACTCAGCAGCCTTCATCCCAAATTTGAAAGGTCAGATATCTGGTTTCATTGATAAATATATGCAGATATAAAAATTGCAAAATGAAGCACAATGGTAAATGCAAATGAGGTATAGCAGGCAAAGCCTAAAACAAATACACTGACAAATCAACTTAAACACATGCGCACCATCTATAAGAAGGTGACTAATTTTACCAACTTGTGAGTAGATACAAAAAATGAAAAGCCACTGGATAATAATACCATCATAACAAATTAAAGTCTAGCACAAAATCATACAAGATCCATAATATCTTCAACAGGGACAGAATAAAATTAACATTAACGTGGTAAAACCACAAAATGTGGGGAATCAAATTTCTGCAATGCAGTTTTTCGATTCTTAACTCCTTTAGGAACCAAAACTAAAATTCCCCTTCAATGCTACATACTAGTTGATATGTCCACAGTGCAAAAAAGGGATTATTTGCAAAATGCTGTTGGCTTCTTGAAGCAGTGAAGCTTAAGCAAAAAGCCCAGCTTGGTAGATCAACAAGGTTTGCCATTGCTTGTATAAAACCTTATGCATAATATTTTGGTAACAACTTGAATTTGTGCCAAAATAAATTAATACCGAGAGCAATTTATACAATATTGATTCAACATCTTCACCAACGTAACCAGCCTGCAAAATAGCAATGGTTGTCTGTAAGATTTATTGAATACATTGGAAAAAGAGACAAAACCCAGAAGATAAGATCTGTAATATCAGAAGGGGAAAGGTATCAAAATTTCCACTCATGCCACTAAACTAAAATTTCTCTCTGTCACCTTAGAAGGCTAGCATTTCATAACAATATAATCTACGTTTGTAATTGCAATTGTGTGAGGGCACAGAATCAAGTGTATGGGCATTGTTGACAAGAACAAGCAATAATCGAATCCCACCAACACAACTTAACACGTAAACTAAAGGAATGTTTACAGATGCTAGCAAGTGTACATTAATGTTTATTTTCACAAGTAAAGAAAATAAATAAATAAATATTAAGCACTTGCCTGTGTCAAAGTTGTTGCATCTGCAATCACAAAAGGCACATTCACAAAACGAGCAAGGGTTTTTGCAAGCAGTGTTTTACCTGTTCAACGGAAACAGCCTACATTTTCACACCTTATTTAAGATGAAAAGGCCATGTCACTTGATATCATGCATCAACTATTGTATGGTTAAGCCACACTAATTGGAAGGCACTGGTGAGGTATACCTGAGCCAGTAGGGCCGATCAAAAGCACATTGCTCTTTTCCAATTCTACATTGTCGTTGTCATCTACTCTAACTGATTCAGCTTCTGACCTAGTATCGACTTGCAGAATTCAAATCATAATCAAGATGAAAAAGGCCAATAGGAGACATTGAATTGCTTGTGAAAATTGAGGCATGGAGTAAAAACTTCATTATTGGCCTTGTGCCTAATAGGCTCATATATGAAGGAACAGAGATAGAAATATCACTAACCCTTTCTGCAAGGACACACTATATATTCTTTTGTAGTGGTTATAAACAGCCACTGAAAGCACCTGGAAACATCAATGGTGAAAACATGAGGTACAGAAGGTTAATTGGGATAGGAATATCTGCAAATTGCAGGGAAATGCCATAAAGATAACTAAGCAAAACAGACTGCTCTAAACAATTAACCATATATTTCCTACAATCATCAATAAATAAATAATAATTTTGTGGTAGTAAATGGTTCAGCACGCATCAGTCTAGCTGCAAACTGATTAAAAATGCACAGTTGAGCATCTTATAATGTAAATATAATTAGACTTCAATAATCTGAGCAAAATTCAGCAGAATCAACATCTGTGACATAGCATAAATCTAAATTAGCACTGATACTTGCATTGGGATGGTGATTACAGTTTGGCCAGTCTAGTTATGACTTTCGAGCTCGTATGAGTATATTTTGGTTGTGGGCAAGAAAACAGAGTTGTATTCATAATCAATGAAAGAATGTAAAGATCGAACCAACAAAGTGAGGACCTTTTTAGCTCGTTCCTGCCCAATGACAAATTCGTCAAGTCCCTTGCAGATCTCCTTTGGCGTCGGTAAATTTTTACCCAGATTAGACCCACCCCAGCTGCTTTTCTCTCCATTATTACCACCACCATTGCGACTGTCATTTCCACTGCCACCATTGCCCCCATTACCTGATGCCCGAATAAGATTGACGCCAGGAGCAAAAGGAGGTCCAGGGGGTGTATGCACTGCAAGCCCATTTCCAGATGGAGGTGGAGGAGGAGGCCAGTTCTCTGGTGGTTCACTGCCATATGACTTCAAGGTCTCCCAAAACGAAGCTCGAATCCTCTTCCCATAATCTTCAGCTTCGGCCAATTTCTTTTCCGAATTTGAATTCTTGCTTTTGACAGTCCCAGTCTCAATGAAACTTCCCTGAAGAGGCGACATCTTGTATGGCCTAACGTAATAAGCCGTCTTACAATTGGGGCACAGATTCAACGCCTGGGAAGCATTAGCTCCACCTCCACCTTTTGAGTTACTATTATTACTGTCATCGTTAGTGTGTGCACTGGTAGAATTATCACTATTACTGGTAATAATGGAAGTTGAATCGATATAATCGAAGGAAGAACTGGGATTGGAAGAGGGTGGAATTAGGTTATGAGGGCGGTTTGCAAAGAGTAGATCCATTTGCTTGGAGCAACGTGGGCAATTGGCCTCAGCCTTAAGTTTCCGAGTTTGATACTCATCGCCAGCGCCGCCGCGGTTCCACTTGTACCTCTCCTGCACTCCAATCAAAGACTCCCTCCGTTTCATAAAAGAACCCACGTGAAGGCAATTCACGAAATCCCGCTTCTGCAATTGCAACTGACGCTGGTTACCTCTCCTGGATCCCTTCAATGCTATGGCTCTTAATCTCCTCCATCCCGAAATCATTTTATCTCTTCCCTCCTCGCCTTTCTCGAGTAATATATGCACAAACTGCTTGTTAATTTTGTTGAGGTGAAATAGAGAGGCGTCAAAACTCAAACGAATTGAACAAAAACTAATCTTTATTACAAATTATTATTAAAATGGTATAAGATTACTAGTAAACGATGATTTTTTTCTTATTTAAAATTTTAAAGTGAACAAAATCTAATCTTAATATAAGGAGAAAGAAGTCGAGCCGAAGAAAGCAAAAGCGGGTTTGTAGTGTTGGAGAAATTCTGTCAGGGTTACACGTGTATATATTAAAATGTGTAATGTTATTTTTAAGGTTTAGTCAATAAGATAATTTATTGAGTTTAATTTTGAACTAATGAGTATTAAGTTTCATGGAATCAAAGTATGGAGACCGAAATAATTATTTTAAATTGCTGAGGGACCAATATGAAATAATTGAAAGATAATAATTAATTATTTAATATGAATCGTTGTCCCCAATTGCATGTGACTTTCAGAATTCTTTCATTCCCATCAACAGAGAACAATATCAAGAAATTACGTAATAGTTGAAAGATCATAATTTCAAAAAACTCAGATCTATGAATCAAAGTACGCTTCCACATTTATTTTGTTTTCTCATTGATTTTAATATGGAAATTCAAGAATCTGGTTCGTTTCGATTTCCTCCAAGTGGCATCAGAGTCACTCCATTATTGAATTCTTTGAGAAATTGCAAGATTTAATGTTACTACAGTTTTATATTACGGATTAATTTTTTGGATCAAGATATTATGATATTTGTTTAAGAATATTAAGATTTAACAACCTTGAATATATTTTTTTTGAATTTGAAAGTTGTTTGGGATATTACTTTTGATTATTCTTTCGGCTATGTCATTTGTTGAATCAATAGCATTATTTTGTATATTGTTGATGATTATCATTCAAGATCTGAAAGAAAATTTTGGGTAATTTGATTTTCTGGATCAAGATCTGAGTTAAAATTTTCTAAAATCAGTTTCTAATTTTTGATTTTGGATTTTAAAAAAAATAATTTTAAATCAAGATCACTAAACCACCGACGCTGCAAAATACAGCAGCGCCCGGCTGCTTTTGGTGCAACCGACGCGTTGGCGAGTGGCGCCGGCCGCTGGCACTGGTAGAGAGAGGGAGAGAGAGAATCAGTTTCTACATTGGATGAATTTTGGGGACGAGGGCCTGAGGTGCAATTTTGGTATTTTCAGCCCTTGCTTGCAATTTAAAATTAGGGTTAATTATTTTTTCAAAATAAAAATTTACATTTCAGTCCCTAATGTTTCTGATCCATCCAAATTGGACCTTTAAGGTTACG